AAAGTAAATTGTCAAAAGCAAAAATAGGAATAAAGTAGTGATACATGCTACAACACGTTATTCTAAATGAATGAAGTCAAATACAAAAGGTCACATATTTTTTCATGTACATGAAATATTCAGAATATATAAAAGAACCCCGATGGCACAGTGGTTACACATTGAACAAATGAACAGTTCGGTATCACCAGCTGCTCTTCCGGAGAAAGACGAAACTTTCTACTCCCATAGCTACATTCTCAGAAACCCACAGGGTCAGTTCTGCCCTGTCCTCAAGGGTCACTCTGAATTGGAACCTACTCAATGGACTGAGTTTGGAAACAGATTCTGAATACAGGAAACCTCCTTTAAATATAAAAATGTACATAGAATTACAGTAAAATGGACATCCCCCCGAAAAAAAAGGATAAAGCATGCAAAAGGAAGCTAACTGTAATATCAGACAAAACAAATAAATAAATTCACAAGTCAGCTCCAACCGGGATGCTAACTTGTCACTGAAGCAGATAGCTTCATCTTTCTCCCACGGACCAGCTTGTATGTTTCAACTGCCAAACTGAGTAGCCCAACACCTAAGCCAAGCACACGCGACTCCCTATTATCAAAGGAGATTCCAAATGAAGGGAAATAATCAGACTATTAAGAAGGTCATTATAAATGCTAAAAGATCAAATCACCCAAAAGTCTTAAATAGGTACCAATTTAGATGCTGTTCTCTAAAAATGCAAAGCCAGTAAATCTGGGTGTGGGATAATTACACTAGGGCAGGGTATCAAACTCAAGTAAAACACAGGCCATTTGGTGCAACAGGCAAGATATACGTGGGCCACATCACATTTACAAATTTTGTTAAATTTATATTTTGAAGTGAGGATTCAGGAATATGGATAGGATAATTAAAACACTACACAATTGCTTTTATTTTAACATTCAATTTAATGTATTTATAAAACTAAAATTCTTTTTTACCCGAAACTTGCCAGCGCTTTCCTACTAGTTTTACTTACCTCTTATGTTGTGAACGGAAAATATAACAAAGTAACTAGTAAAAACACAAAATGCTGGACAGCTGACAAACGTGATGCACAATCGTAATGGCTTCCCTATAAAAATGTTGACTAGCGCTGCCACTAGTTATGATTCTTAACAGCGCAACCCAGAGTGCTCTTTTTAACCTTCTCGCTATTGGGATCTGTTTACATTACATGACACTGAGAGTGGCAGACACATCGCTTCCAAATGTCGCCAGAACTGAGTCAGTGTGTTTACACACGTTCACAGGCCCCCAGGAAAGGGACTGGGCCACGTGTTTCCTCGTCTTCAGTAGTTAAATGGTTAACAAGGGAATTGTGTGTGTACGGAATCACCTCGATCACCCCTAGGTGCTATTTTCTTCATAACAATTTTTTTCTATTTTCATTTCAGAGCATCGTGGGCCACAAAAAATTATCTTGGGGGCTGTATGTGGCCCGTGGGCCGCCAGTTTGACACCCCTGCACTAGGGCAATGAAATGAATGAACTATTATAACTCACCATGTAAATGAAACTCACAAAAGAGGTTAAAAATGAAGATATATACAAGCAGAATTCCATTTGTTACACAGTCAGTCAAATCTCATCGATGGAGATGGTACCTTTAAGGGGAGTGGTGACAGGTGTTGGTAAGATTCTATTTACCTGGGAAATGGTGCCACGGATAGATTCACTTTCTGAAAATCCACCCTGCTGTATATATCCATGTGATTCATGGCCTTTCATATATGCCTGCTATAATCAAAAATGTATTTAACTTTTTAAACCTAAGATCATATTGCCCATAAACCTATTTAGTAAGTTTCCCATCTGCAGGGTTACATTCCATGTCTCTATCAGGCCTTAGAAAGTCTCATATAATTTGGCACAACCTCTCATCTCCTACCACTCCCGCTCTCTTATTTGACCATAGCTATATTAGTTTCGATGGCATGACTGACTTACTCCACATACCACCTCTACACTTGTTATTTCCTCTACGGTTTCCTCTCTCATTTGCTTCATGATTCTGCTCAAATGTTGCCTTGTGAGAAAGATAATCCTTGGTCTCTATAAAAAGCATGCTTCCTTACTATGAATCATGATAAGAAAACTGCTCAGTCTTTAAAGTGTAACAAGGTGCTGTACTGTGAGAATGCCTTTAGGAAACCTTATCATAACCACACTACATCCCTGATCTTGCTCCTTCAGACAATTTTGTTCCCCAAGTTCAAAAGAATACCAAATAGGAACACTATGAGTCCCTGCCAAACGAAGAGTGTGAAATTCTTCAGGGACAGATTACAGAAACAGTTAACACTGCCTTCATAAGTATATAGACCTACATGGAGGCTGTCGTCAAGCAACAAAACCCAAAACCAAACTCACTGCCATCGAGTCGATTCCAATTCAGTGACCCAATAAAACAAAGCAGAGCTGCCCTTGTGGGCTTCCAAAACTGTAAATCTTAACGAGACTCAAAAGTCTCCTCTTTCTTCAAAGAACTGGCTGGTGATTTTGAACTGCTGGCACCATAGTTAGCAGACCAACCTGTCACCCACTACACTACATCACCAGGGCTCCTCAAGAATCAACAGTATTACATTTTGATATTTTCATTTTAAAGGGGTGTCTACAATTTTGAAGCAACAGTTTTAAACTTGCCCTTCAACTAGGATAATTTGTCTTATAGGCAAGAGATAAAACTCACAACACATGGAACCCAGGAACAGGAATGGGAATAGATACCAAAAGGGCAGGGGGAAGGAGGGAAGAGGAGGGGAGGGAGGGGGTACCAATCACAATGAATGGCACATAACCACACACCCCCAGCCAGGGGGAAGAACAACAGAAACCAGAGAGGAAGGGAGATAGCAGTCGGTGCCAGATTTGAAAATAATTAACCATCTACACCAGGGGTCCTGAAACTGCGGCCTGCCGAGGACATTTATCCGGCCCAACGGGTGTTTCTGCCACCGCTGCCTGTCCTGCTTAGCAGCCGACTCGTCCAGTGTGCATGGGAATTTGTTCATCGTTTTTTTTTTAAACTATAGTCCGGCCCTCCTTCAGTTTGAGGGACAGTGAACTGACCCCGTTCAAAAAGTTTGAGGACCCCTGAACAATCTATCAGGGGGCCACGAGGTGTGGGGAGGGAGGGAAAAAAAGAGGAGCTGATCTAAGGGCTCAATGGAAAGTAAATGTCTAGAAAAGAACAGTGGAATATATGTACGAATGTCAGATACAACTGATATATGGATTGTTACAAGAGTTGTAAGAGCTGCCAATAAAATGATTAATATATATATATATTTGTTGAATAAATACTTCACATGGACTAATATAAGACGTGGCTGTCATTTATCTTTTTAATCAAAATTTTCACTCATACACAAAATGGACAAAATTATGCCAATATATAAGACATTTAAAATAAGTTCCTTTCAAACACCCTTATGTTCATTTGAGAAAACATCAGCATACTATTGATATACTCTACTAACCATCATAAGTACACTGCTAACCCACACCCTCTGAGCAACATCTTTTAAAGATCCAATTTAAATATTTCCAAACCAACATTAAAACCTTTCTTAATTGAAGAAAGCTTTTCAAACTACTACCACTTTGATGTTCATTTTTAAATTCAGACATGCAACTGCCTTAGCTATCTAGTGCTACTGGAATAAAAATACCACATGTGGATGACAGGAACAAACATCTATTTTCTCACAGTTTGCTGCCAGGCTGGCTCTGACTCACAGTGACCCTCTGCACAGCAGAGTGGACACTGCCTGGTCCTAGACCCCCTCCCAGTGGTTGCTATGCTTGAGCCCCTGGCTGCAGCCACAGTGTCGATCCGCTAGAGGGTCTTCCTCTTTGCTACTTGACAAGGACATCCTTGTCCAGGGCCTGGGCTCTCCTGCTAATACCTTTAAAGTACATGAGACAAAACATCCACATCCATGCTTACAAGGCACATTCTGGCTGTACCTCTTCCAAGACAGCTTTGTTTGTTCTTTTGGCAGTCTACGGTGGTTTTCGGTATTCTTCCGCTGCGCCATCATTCAAATGCATCCATTCTTCTTCGGTCTTCCTTACTCAACTTTCACATGTGGACGAGGCAATTAAAAATACCATGACTTGGGTCAGGTGCACCTTGGTCCACCAAGTGACATCCTTCCTCTTCAACACTCTAAAGAGGTCGTTAGCAGCAGATTTATCAAATGCAATGGGTCATTTGACCTCCTGACTGCTGCTTCCATGAACACTGATTATGGATTCAAGTAAGATAAAATCCTTGACAACTTCCTTCTTTACTCTGTTTATCATATTACCTATTGGTCCAGTTGTGAAGATTTTGGTTTTCTTTACTGAGTTATAATCCATATAGAAGGCTGCAATCCTTGATCTTCATCAGCAGGTGCTTCAAGTCCTCTTTACTTTCATCAACTAATGTTGTGTCATCTGCATACTGCAGGTTTTGAATAACCCTTCCTCCAATCCTGATGCTGACTTCTTCCTCATAAAATCCAGCCTCTGATGGTTTGCGAAACATGCAGACTGAAACAGTGAGGTGCGCAGACACAAAGCGGAGCGTTCAGAAGCTTTCACAGTTTACTAGTGATAAACCCAGCCTCACAGTACCACCTCTCAGGGCGGCTTTCTTGCTTGCCTGTCTCTAGAGGAGGGCTCTTGTCTTTTCCAGCTTCTTTTCTGGGCTCCCGAGTGTTCTTCATGTGGCTTGTCATTGATCTTCCTCCATCTCTGCCTCCTGTGTGTGTTTGCCTAATATGATCTTTTACATTTCTACAAAAACTGACTTAAAATGCTCTCTAATACTGCTTAAGAAAACAAAGAAAATCTTGTTCTGAAATGAGATTATAGCCACAGTAAGTATTATTAACACATTTTGGGGGAACACAATCTAATTCATACCAATAACTAAAATGGTAACTAAAAAAGAAAATTAAAGATGTAAAATGCTTACATTAACTTTGAAAGCTTGCACAGTGTTATCCAGAAGGAGGATATTGCAAACCACCTCTGTGTGTTGTCTTTCTCGGGCCAATTCTGATGCTCGTACATTGTAGGTTCTGCCAGCAGGCAAACGGAAACGTGAGGTCATTACTGTTCACACAAAATCTAAGTTAAAAAAACAAACAACAGCAAATAAAAAAAACACAATTAATGAAAGGATAGAATATACAATGTTGTTTAAAACACAAAATTGGTATGTTTCAATTTAAAACTAATAAATTTGAAACCCCAGCAAAGAATTGTGGGTATAAAGTATCATAGTCTAAATTAAACTCTCAAGATGTCTGAAAAAAGAGCATTACTGCTTATTTTCAAGGGTTCAACTGAGAATACTTAATATACAAATTCTTCAGTGAGTCAAATTCTATTTCAAAATGTATAAACTTAAAAGTAGCCACAAAAGGGACAAGAGGAAGTGGGTCATAAATAACATCTGACTTAGCCAGGTGAAAGCCCTTAAAACAGCACTTCTCAACCTGTGGGTCGCGAACCCTTTGGGGGTTGAAAGGACTCTTTCACAGGGGTCGCCCGACTCATAACAGAACCAAAATGACAGTGACGAAACAGCCACGAAAATCATGTTATGGTTGTGGGGGCACCACAACATGAGGGCTGTATTAAAGGGCCGTGGCATTAGGAAGGTTGAGAACCACTCTACCATAGGAACCCTTCCTATGATGATGGCAACAAATGTACAAATGTGCTTGACACAATAGATGGATGTATGGATTGTGATAAGAGTTGTACAAGCCCCCAATAAAATGACTTTTTTAAAAAGGTGGAGAATATGGAATATGGCAACTGCCTCCATGAACAGTCTCTTTTATCTTCAAACCAGAAGAAATGGATGGTGTCATTAACATTACTGGTATCAGACATATTTCACAGCAGAATCGAAAGGGGAAATATATGGAAGGAAATTTCAGTCTCATGATTCCAGATTTCCTGGAAAATTAAATCTTTAAACCTTCAACCAAAAACATCCCCTCATTCATAAAACAAAATAGTTTAGCTTGATTGGTAAAACACGTCTGCCTTGAGCATTATGTTATTTTTAAAACTATGTATCTAGGATTGAATTGGTAACAGCACCTCAAAAAAATTAAAGGACACTTAGGGGACAGTGAATTTATGTTAATAAAGTCAGAATAACTTAGGAAAGGAGGGTGAGAATGGTTACATAAGTGGAAGAATGTAGCCAAAGGTACATGTGGAACTTGACATTAGTCCATGTTCTGCTGTGTATGTTCTCAACTAACTAAATAAAATTTCATATATACCTTTTTTTGAAAAAGCTATGGAGGGTTATTACAAAAAGCACTGGATGTGGTTTTCCGTTACTTAAGTATTTTACAGTTCATTATATACTATTTTCACATTATAATATTTAAAGGGTAGTGCAAGTACATGTGTGCAAGAAAGCGAGGAGCAGAGAGAAGAAAAGACAGAGCTACACTCACGGAGGCCCACACTCTCCTCTAAACCTGTGCCTTCAAAGCACCTATGCAGTCATGTCAACAGCTCCCAGGTGCAAGACACAGTACAATGCTAGAGATATAAACATACACATAGCTCAACATCTGTCCTCAAGAACTCACAATCTACATAGGAAAAAGAGACAAGTATTCAGATTTGGGCAAATAACGTACTATAAAAGATAGAAATAAACGGTTTTAGTGAGTCATGCCCACACACCTATTGCTGTCAGGTTGATTCAGACTCATGTGATCACACGTTTCAGGAAAGAACTGGGCTTCTTTAATGCTGTGATGACCAAGTAAATCACCAAGCCCTTCTGCTTCAGTGCTTCTGGGTGCCTAAGAACTGCCGACCTTTTGGTCAGTAGGCCGGTGTAAAACCATTTGTAATGTCAGTAGACCTACATACAGAACTGCTGAGTTTTCTCCCCAGACACCGGCAAGAACCGCCCGCAGCCAGCTAGTTCTTTCCCTCTCCATCTCCATGGTCTACACCTCTGTTCATTAGTCTCCTCCACACAATCCCAACAACAGAGCTGATCTTTGTTCAGTACCATCATTCAAAGAGTTTACTTTTTTTTTAACTCTAAAAAGGGCCAACCTTGTATTGTCAGTAATGTCATCTTTGGGGCTTTGGCTCTCCTTCTCCAGAAGAAATTTTAATTTTTTAATCATTTTATTGGGGGCTCATACAACTCTTATCACAATCCATACATCCGTCAATTGTGTAAAGCACACATACATTCGTTACCCTCATTTTCAAAACATTTGCTCTCCACTTAAGCCCCTGGCATCAGGTCCTCATTCCCCACCCCCTTCCCCTCCTCCCTCCCTCATGAACCCTTGATAATTTAGAAAATATTATTTTATCATATCTTAATACTGCCCGATGTCTCCCTTAGAGTATTTTTATTTTAGAGACAGAGAGGTTAGCCTGTTGGTCTCTGGAGTTCTTATCCTTCATTTAGAAAAATAATTGATTAACAAATGCATATGTTTCCTGATACCTGAACACAAACAAAAAGAGGACTTCATGATGAGTATTGAGTGGTGTAAATGGGTAAACGATCCACTCTAGCCAAAAGGATTGTGGTCTGAACACGCCCAGAGGCAACTCCGAAGACAGACCATATGATCTGCTTCCAAAAGGCCAGATGGCCCAATTCTATCCCGCACACATGGTGTAAAGTTAGAATCTACTCGATGACAACTATCAATAACTTGCATTTAATAGTGTCGTAAGCTGCATGTTGAGAGGCTTTCGCTACTAAATCAACTCAGCCAAAAGCAGCATTTTTAAAACAGATTATAAATTCTGATAGAATCATCAAGAGCATAACTGCACTGGGGTCTTAAAAGCACGTGAGTAGTCATCTCAGAAAAAAATACTGGTATCTATTTGAACAAAGCAAAAGAGAAAAAAAAAAAAAGAAACCGTCTCAAAGAAACTAGTCTACTAGGGTAATAAACTACACAAGCCACACAAGGCTAATCTACCTCGAGACAAGAAGAACCTACAATAGATACACCCTAATAGAGTGGGCCACCACTCCTCTGTCAGTTTGCCATCGCGTGACTTGAATGGCGCTGTGACGCTACAAGCTATACCACTGGTACTTCAGAAAGTAGCGGGGTCACTCATGGTTGACAGACTTCGGAAGGGCTTCCAGACTTAGAGCGAGAAGATGGAATACATAATCTAATTCTCAGGGATTGGCCACAGAAAACCTTTAGAATAGCAGAACACTCATCTGAAGCTAAGCCCCTTTAGGCACTCAAAATACACACAACTGAGGACGAGCGCTTCCTCAAAGCACATTACTGACGGTGAATGGAACAAATGGATCCATGTCCCACTACACACAACCAAGTGGAGTAAGGTTATAAAGGTTCAAACTAAAAATATTAAATTCTTAGAAAAACGAGCAGGCACAACAGTATCAGACCAAGCGTTCAATAATGGATTCTCTAATACAGGAGTAAAAGCACAAACGGCAAAAGACAAAATAAGTTCACAGGACCTCATAAAAATGAAAAGTCCACCTGGGAGATTATCCTTGAAAAACACGTGACAAGAATCTTCATAATCTGTCTACATATAATTTCAAAAACTTAACAAAAAGGCAAATAACCCAGTTACAGAGTAGGCAGAGGTCTTGAAAAGATGCTTCTTCAAAAAAGACGTTCACATGGTCTCCAAGCACATGAAATGATGCTCGGTGTCATTAGCCACCAAAGGAGCAAATCAAAAGCAGAATGAGATGCCACCTCCCGTGAGATGGCTAAGATGGAAACAAAAACAATAAGTAACAAATGTTGATGAAGATGTGGGGAAACTGGAACCCTTATCCATTGCTGGTAGGAATGCAAAATGGAACCCCCATTACAGGAAACAGAGAAGTGCTTCCTCAAGAAACTAAAAGCAGAACCACCATTTGACCCTCAATTCGACTCCTAGGTATATGTCCCAAAGACTTTCAAGCAACATGCTCCTAAGATGTAAACCAATGTTCACTACAGCACTGCTCACAGTAGCCTAAAAGTGGAAACAAACAAAGCAGTTTTAGTTCTTATCCCGTACCCTCATTCTTATTTCCCCTTTGCAGGTTCTTACCCTCTTGCCCTAAACCACTACAACAATACCCTAACTGGTTTTTCGGCTCCATTTCTAATCATATCTTTGCACACACTAATTGAGTATCTGCAAGTAAGCGGTTTTACTACCTCTAATCTTATCATTCTCTTATTTACAGACCCGGTAATTCCTATCAACTGCAGATGCTGATTTCCAAACAGGCACCAGCAATGCAGGAGCACCATTCTGCTTACTTTAAGATTTAGCTTTCCGGGCTAAGATCGACAAGAATTGAGAACTACAAACCAATATCCGTAATGAATATCGATGCAAAAATCTTTAACAAAATACTGGCCAATAGAATACAAAAGTATATTGAAAAAATAATGTACTGTGACCAAGTGGGATTTATACCAGGGATGCAGGGATGGTTCAACATACGAAAGACCATTAGTATTGTTCGCCAAATTGATATGAAAAATTATAAGAACCACATGATAATATTGATAGATGTGGAAAAAGCATTTGACAACATCCAACACCAATTTCTGTTAAGATGCTCAAGAAGATAGGAAAGGAAGGAAAATTCTTCAATATTATACAAGCTATCTATGAAAAACCAACAGCCAACATGGTAATCAATGGAGAAAGATGAAAACAATTCCACTGAAAATGGGGACCAGACCAGGATGCCCCTTGTCCTTACTCCTATTTAACATCATATTGGAGGTCCTAGCTAACAACATAAGACAAAGATATCAAAGGTATTCATCTGGGGAAGGAAGAGGCGAAACTATCGCTATTCGCACATGATATGATTTTATATATTGAAAATCCACAAAACTCCACAAGGGAAGTATTGGAAGTGACAGAGGAATATGGCAAAGTGGCAAGATACAATATCAACAAACAGAAGTCTATTGGACTACTATACGTATCAGACAAGATCACAGAAGAGGCACTTAAAAAGGCAGTACCCTTTATAATAGATACGCACAAACTGAAGTATCCAGGGATACACCTAACTAAAAAAAACAAAAGATTTGTACAAG